AGACATCCACCATTTAATCCATACATTGTGAAAATAGAATTCAATCCCAGGCAGTCTGGCTAGAGAAGTAGTATATTAACAACTACAGTACTCTGCCTGTCATATTTTACAAAGACAGCCCTGAAAAAATGGTCCAGCTTTAGAAAATGCAAAAAAGATGAGCACTGCAAAAAGGAGTTTATGTAGAGTCCATCTAGGCATGAAATAGGACTTTGTAAATGCCAAGAAAGAGATTAACTGAGAAATATTTTGAAGACTACTTCTCAGTGTCATAGGTCAGATTCCCTGAAAGCAGACCAGGTGATTGCAATTCACATATCATGGTTTATTTAAGGAGTGTCCTCAGAAGAAAGGAAGCAGCACAGGGCAGAGAAAGGAGCAGATAGGGATGTAGTCTTGCTGGAGCCTTGTTCATCTTTAGCTCCCTGGAAGCTTTGGAGCATGACTTGTCATACCCCAAGGTAAAGAGGTGGTATTTTTATACCTGGATTCTAATAGTCAATACCGTTGAGCCACCCACAGGTGAAGAGCACATAAACTCCCAGAAGGCAGCTCCTGTTGGGCCATGTGAGATTCTAGAGAAAGGGTAGCTAGGAGCAGTTAGGTGCTAGCAGCACTAGCCCAGGGCACATCGTGTGCCTCCTAAAGGGAGTCTAGGCAGGGCAAACTCAAAGTCCAGTACAAAAGGAAAGATGGATTTTGTGTCTTATTTGATGTAAGTAATATTGGAGGAGATATAAATAATACTTTTATAGTATCTACTCTGAAAAATTCAATGTATTTGTGGTACACCAGTTAGAATCAGGGAAGTATAAATGAAAGAAAACCTCACAGGGAAAACTTTGAGTTAATTTAGGGCATAGTGAAATGCCACTGGGATACCTGGTGAGAGGTTTTTATAGGATTCCAGACACAAGGCTAGATTTAAAACTACCATAACAGTACTAATTAAGGCCATGGGTAGAAATGATTCTGAAACAATGAGTGTTAAGGCAAATATGTAGAATCCTCATTCAAAACCTGGAGCAATGAAAGGGTCAAGAATAAGAGTAGGAAGAGAAGTCGGTGAATCAGAGGTAAGCTGAGATAAGAAAGTCTGCACTCCCCTAGCTAAAATGGAGACTTAAAGATGGAGTGGGAGGTCAACAATGTCAAATACCACAATAAATTAGAGTGGACTAAGAAAAGTTTAATAGATTTTGAAGGAAATACATTTATGGTGACCTCAATAAGAGATTTTCCAGAGTGGCTACATTAATCCACTTATATATGCATTTTTGGCTCCAGCTTTTCTTGCATTAATAGGAGCTATATATGCGCATATAAAGATATTACTTTCTGTTTTTCATTACATCCCTCTTCTAAAATCTAATGCAAATTTTACGTTCACTAAATCTAAATGCATTATAAAGTTTTCTGCACTTCTCTTACTGAGTTAGCAGTATCTTGTATGTTACAGTTTTGGAGATTTTATGTAATTATTTAAGGTTGAGTTATCTAGGTCTCATAATAAGTTTCTTTATATGGATGTGGCCCTGTTTTAAAGCAAGACTATATGAGTAAGATTAAAACAGTTAATTTTTTCTCAATATATCTCTTATGCCCTAGGAGAGATATATATCCCTCTGGTTTATTACAGTTTGTTTTCATATTACATAATGTTATATTTTGTTCTTTTGATAAAACTGATCATTTGACACTGATTTATCTAACTGGTATATAATAAATATTTGAAGATAACTGTGTCTTATTTTTTTTTAAAGTTATCATACATAATGCTAAAAAAAATCCCTGTAAAATATGTAAGAATCAACCAAGAGTACACAAGACAATTTTAGGGAAAACATTAAAATATAAATCAGACAAAATATCCTGAATACCTGGAGAGATATTTTATATTTTTGTATTGGATAACGTTATGTGGTAAATGTACCAACTATCTATTTATATAAAAACCCTGGGTGTAACGCATCAAGACTGAGGCTGGACCAACCGGAAGGAAGTCAGTCCTGCAGGGCTCATCTGGGAAACGGTTGCGCCCTCCCCAAACTGTTTTCCAGGAAGGCAAGGTTTAAGGCAGGAAATGGCCCTCAGAGCATGGAGGCATATCTTTTTTTTAATATATATTTTATTGTGCTGCTATGAACATAGGGGTGCATATATCCTTTCTGATTGGTGTTTCTGGTTTCTTAGGATATATTCCTAGGAGTGGGATCACAGGGTCAAATGGGAGTTCCATTTGTAGCTTTTTGAGGAAACTCCATACTGTCTTCCATAGTGGCTGCACCAGTCTGCATTCCCACCAGCAGTGCACAAGTGTTCCTTTTTCTCCACATCCTCTCCAGCACTTGTC